TTCACTTGCTCCCACTCATTATATATATATATATATAATTAAGTGAAACCAACCACTTCATCTACTACACTATATTTTATTTATTGTACTGGTGTCCACGTGCTGTTTGGAGAAACTAACCATGAAATATGTGTAGATAAATTCCAAAAGGTATATTTTAGTGAAATTAATATAATAGTTTTTTATTTTAAAAATAATTCATGTATAACTTCTAAGTTCTAACCTTTTCAAAAGACTTGCTTTTAAAAAAATGGTTTAATTATTTTTTTTTCTAAGTAGTTTAACATTTTAGTTTATGTAGTTAATATTTTATTTTAGTTTTATAAACTTTATTTTTTATCCCTAAAAAATTAAGTAATATAGACTAACAGAAAATAAAAAGATAGAATAAGTGATGCACACTAAATTGGCCTTATGACACTCTATCTCCCATATACCATATATGTAAATAAATAATAATTAAATAAATTATTACATAAATAATAATATTATTTTATTAAATATTAATGACGTACACTAATTATAACGGTTACATCATTAAAATGAAAATAACTTAAAAAAGACACAATTTAAACAAACTTCAAACATAATAGATAAATAACATAAAACCTAAACCATATAATATTAGTTATCTAACTTCATTATTTGGTCAACGTATCTTTCAATTGTTCCATCCCATGCAATAATCCAATATATGTCGTGGTAGCATACAATTCGAGAATATTAATTTATTTATGTCATTTATTTAAAATTCTATTTAATATTAATTTTATTCTTTAAATATTATTTTATTTAAATATTAAATAGATTTTTTATAATCTAAAACCAAAAACTAAATAATTTTTTTGAAAATTAATTATAATTTTAAAAAAAAATCTGAATATTAAAAACTGAAAAAAGTAAAAAATAATAAATCTGAAAATAAAAAACCAAAAAAAGAAAAAAAAATATTTTGATAAATAAAAACAGACTCAGGTTATTTTAATAAATAATTTTTTGTATATATTAAAAAAAAAGTCCTACTTTTGGTCGTAGAGAAACGTGGCAGAGTATGATTGGGTTTTAATTACACCGTGACCTCTGAGCATGCCATAGTTTATAGTTTGAGGATCAGGATAAGCTTTGTTCTTCCCTTCGTTCCAGCCATGGCTGCACCTTCACTCTCTTCCGCCCTCAATACCCTCTCCTCTCTCTCCCTCCCCACTTCCTCGCGCTTCTCCCTCCTCCCCCCGCCTCCCCACAAGCTCTCCCTCCTCTCCAAGCCCCTTCACCACGCCGCCCTCGTCTCCGTTCCCAAATCCAAACCCTCCGACGACATCGACACCTCCTTCTTCGACTCCGTCAACCCCAACGCCGACATTGTCTTCACCCCGCCGGAGGCTCCCGAGGGCTTCGTCCCGCCCCCCTCCTTCGACGACGGCCTCCTGGAGACCGACGAGGAGATCGCGTCCGCCTACGAGGAGCTCTACGGCCCCGCCTACAGCGGCGTGTCGGTCCTGGGCAACGACGTGTTCGTGATGGACTCGAAGGTGAAGAAGGACACTGGGTTCGGGTCTGGAGCGAAGAAGGAGAAGGTGCGCGACGGGTTTGAAGAGAGGGTGGTTCAGGTGAGGAGGGTGACCAAGGTGGTTAAGGGAGGGAAGCAGCTGCGCTTCAGGGCTGTTGTTGTTGTTGGTGACAAGAAGGGTCAGGTCGGCGTTGGAGTTGGCAAGGCCAAGGAGGTTATTGCTGCGGTTCAGAAATCTGCCGTTAATGCCAGGAGGAACATTGTTAAGGTGCCTATGACTAAGTACTCCACTTTTCCTCATAGGTATCTATCTATCTATTTCTTTTACATTCTCAATCTTAACTCTATGTTTCACATGTACTACCACTAAACTATTGTTATGCAAAAACACTTAAAGAACATGAAAAATAGAAAGAAAAATCCAGGTAAGATTTCCATTGATAAAACTAAGTCACGCATAAGGGTGTGGCTCCATTGGGGAAATTATTGGAAGAGTAAAATAAGAAGAAAAAAATGAAATTAGCTTAGGGAGAAGAAGCTAACTTATTATTAACTTATGCATTTTAGCTTATAGATCCTAGAAGTGCTTTTGCAGAAACTCATACTCATCTGAACATGACCTAAGTTATCAGTAAGATTTTTGGAAAAGCTAATAGGAGTGAGTTTCTACGTATTAACTTATATATAAGCTAATTTTAGTTTATAAAGAAGTTTATTTCAATTTTTTCTCGTTATTTTTCTTTCCTAGGAGTGGTTATGAAGAAATTTACCCAAACAAATCCTAAATATGGGAAAATTGACATTGCATAGGTGGAAAGTAGTGTGGACATGTAATTGTTACTAAGTTTCCTAGGATTTGTTGGCTTCTGTTTGTACTTTTGATGAATTGAAGTGACTATATTGAGTTGAGGGGCCGTGCAATTCGACTCTGAGCTGATGGTTGTAAACCTGTAGTGATTGTGATTGGAAGAGTGCTTGATTGAGTCCGTTTGGAGTGTCAAAAAATCTTATCGTGTCTGATACTTTAATGATGGTGGATTAAGGGTTTGTTTAGATGAACTTTTCTAGAAGCACTTCTAAGCAGGAAAAAAAAAAAAGTAAGAAGAAAATGTTAAATAAGCTTCTCATGCATTGGAGAGCTTCTAAGATTTGGCTTATGCATTTTGAAGAAACTTATTTCATTTTCTTTCCTACTATATTTTTTGCTAAGTATTTTTGGAAAAGTTTATCCAATCACGTCTTAAGAAATAGAGTATTACGATGAGCACTTTCAGCTAGCAATAGTAACTTGAACCTTATCCCTTTATAGCCAAAGAAGTTTTGTTATGGAAGTTCCTTAATTCGAAAAGGAATGGAAGAGCTTAGTTTCTTCCTGATGAGAATTGGAACCTTTACTCGGAGTAGGAGTATGGTCATGTTTGATGTGTTATTTTACTTATGTATGGGTGATGAGTTAAAAGTTATGAATTGCTCTTATTCTTGATAGCTGCCACTAATTTGGTGTTCTATGTTGTTTTTCTTTTCCAGATCTGATGGAGATTATGGAGCAGCCAAGGTGATGCTTAGACCTGCTTCTCCTGGTACTGGAGTTATTGCAGGTGGGTCTGTGAGAATTGTTCTTGAAATGGCTGGAGTTGAGAATGCTTTGGGAAAGCAAATAGGGAGTAATAATGCCCTCAACAATGCTAGAGCGACTGTTGTTGCTGTGCAGAAAATGAAGCAATTTCGTGAGGTTGCTGAGGAGCGTGGGATTCCAATGGAAGAATTATGGAAGTAACGAAAATTGTGAAGCTAGTGTAATTTTTAGATGTCAATCTTTGTGTTATAGAGCTGATCATAGTTCTTGTTAAGGAAGTGAAACAGTGTTCAATTTTTGTTGAAAGTTTTCTGAAACTGAACAGTTTCTTCAGAAAGCTAACTGTTCAGATTGAATCATATATATTCTTTACCTGCCTGTTTCATTTGTCTTTATGGTCATTCAATTTATGCACGGCTTCATCATAGTGGAGGACTCAATTATTCTTCTCTCTTCTTTATATCAAAGAGACTATTTTCAGTTGCAGAAGGGTTGTGTGAATCTTCAACCAGTAGGGACTCATTGCCTTTGATTAAGGAATCATGGGTGCTCATCGTAAGGAATCATGGCAATTGATTAAGGTTTCTCTGAAGGCGGTGATTGTTGTCAACTCCAATTGTTCCACCATTGTTTGCTTAATGGCTGCTACCTTTCGGTAAAAAAATCCAAGTGAAGAAATACCATTACTTCCAGAGGATAAAAATCAAACGTGATTGAGGATAAACACAATTCATCCCATCTGCAAAATTACTTTTATTAGAAAGTTACAGATTATGTAAATTGTCCAAGATGTTAATGTAAAAGATTTACAAAAATTGGAAGCTAGAGTTTTTACGTGTACATTGAAGTGGATCCTCTTCATTGACTCTAAACTGGGTTGCCCAAGTGACTTTATCATTTAAATTAGAAATCTATGATAAGAAGGCTCGAACTCCAGAGGCACATTTCAAAGCGGAAGACATTGTTAACCGAAATCGAATAATGCAGTCAATGACTTAAACCAATGGACAGATTAATAATATAGTTGAACAAAGATAGAGGATAATATGCTCATATTTTCTTTTAATTATCAACATCACTCCTATGCGTTAATTTAGTGTGTTTATTCTGATAGTTTTCGCTCATGCATGAAGTGTAGTTTATGCCTTTGCTTTTTAAGGTACAGTCGATGTTGCGTTATTCGAAGATGGATACGGAAGGAATCCTTGCTAAAATTTCGGTCATTTATTGGATGGTCCAGGAGGGTTTATATAAGGCACTGCATCAAGTTGTTGGCTTAGAATGGAACGAGGTTCCAGTTATGCATATTTCATCCAAGGTATCCTAAATCCTTTTTGATGGTCATGAAGACTAAAATCAAAATGTGATATATTACAAGGCTAAAACTACATTTAAGCATAAAAATAATTTTGGAAAGACCAAGAGATAACATGCTGAGAAGTCTAAATTGTGATGATTATACTTCGAATTCAGAGTCGGTGATAGAGATAAACACGCCCACAAATATATCCGAGAGAAAAAGCATCAAAAAGCTGCAAGAAGTTTAATTTGAAAAGAAAAGAATAAATTCATTTTATATAAGAAAATCTATACAACTTGCAACAAGGGTACAAGACTACAAGGTTATATCAATCTAGAAGCAACATCAAAGAAAGGGGAAACACGATGAAAAAAAAAATTATGGAACAAAATGATGCCTAATGCACAACATAGACATGTCCTCGTTAGATCACAACAGCAGATCGTGAAAGAAATTAAATTCTTGTTGCAGTTTCCCTGCTGATGCATCTGTTTCATCACCCCCATTAAAAAGAAACATGAGAGGGAAACCAAGGATAGCTGACAGAGACAGTGGATAAACCTTCGGCTAGTTTGTTTCTCTTCGAATGAAATCTGGAACATTTGGTAGCTGTTCAATTCATCACGAAGATCTCAACTGAAGTTACTCTCAGGCATTTCATGTAAGTGCCCTCGGAAATGCTCCCAATCTCAAGCATGTTATAATAAATGGTCATTTGCTCTTTAGGTTCTCTTGATGATCCTTACGCTCTAAGCCCATCTCACGCATTTGATGTTCAATGGAGACTAAACCAGTTTGTTCAAGAAACCTGCAGAAAGAATGTATTCACTACTACGTAGGAAAACCATCACAGAAAATACTAACCAACAACTGACTCAATTAGATGTCAAAAGAAAACCAATGTTTTTCACGAATTTACTAACACATTCAAAAATGATACAATTACACATTTCCTATCTAATCTTCTTTTTGCAATCTTCCACAAGAAGGGAACACAAAACGGCCAACACAATGACAATATGCTGACTAATCATATGAGTACCTACGTGTTCCTTTCCATGCTACCACACGTCCACACCATTCAAAACTAAATAACCATCAATCCAACACATAGCACTTCATATTGCCATGTGAAATGCAGACACACACACTTTTATAAAACAAAAGACACACAAACATGAAACACTGAACTCACAAAAAAGCATAAAAATTGGTCTTGTTACAATTAGAACACTTCATGTTGCGTCATTTAGCAACCTGCATGGGCAAACTTCTCAAATAACATTTGCCTAGCATTAACTCTCAAATAGAATATTACATAACATTCACAAATCATTAGGCCCTAGTTTGAACATGTCCAATTAAGGCTGCACAAGGATGCAAACTGTATAGGAAAGCAAAAATGATGAACGAAATCTAAGTTTCAATTTGAAAGCAATTGCAATACAATAGGGAAGCATGAAAGTACCAGCTGAGAAGAAAGAAGAGAGCAAGGCAAATTAGAACAAGGAATGCAACATGGAACATCAGCCATGAATCACTGGAAGAGAATGCTAAGGCCAGCATAACAGCAAGACAGAGACCCAGCATTAAAAAAGTCGACTTTAAAGTAATCCATGTAGGACCCTGAATCGGAAAAACCACAACAACAACAAAATTACTAAAATCCAATGAAAAAAAGGTATAAAAATTAAAAAAGGAAGAGATCGCAGAGTGAAAATACGGACGTTAACACCAGGAGCTAAAGCTCCAAGGAGAACTGCTTGGGCTGAAGATACATCTCCAGCATCTGATTCTTCATGCCGATGTTCCATCTTCCAACGCAAATTGTAGTTACTTAGGGTTTTAGGAAGCCACAATCGCAAATTGTAAAGCTCACAGATTAACAAACAATAACACGCACTGTTGACTCAAATTCCCCGCTAAAGTCATTTTTTTTAGCCTTTTAGATTTAAGAGGAAAACTTGGTTTGGGTATACATTTGATTGGGCTTCGAACAATTTGGGTTGAAGGGAACCAAACTATTGGGCTTGGTCATTTTTTAATTCTGATTTCAATTCACACTTTTTATTTATTTATTTATACGAAAATTCACTTTATAGAATGTGTTCCGTTGTGAATGTTGTCGAGATACATAATAGAAACTTATTTTTATTACGTACATTGAAATAACAAAATTTTATTTCCGTCGAGAGGTGAAGGTGAGAGGTGCCCAGAGCGGGGAGAAGTTTCGTCTAAGGAAGAAATTTTTTCTTGGACACTTTAATGTGCTGATATACACCCACGAGATTAAAATAAAAGAGGGAAGTGATAAATGTAATAGGTATATATGATGTGAAAGAAAGAGACACAAAAATATGAAATGTAATTGAGATCTTTGAAATATTTAGGTGTACAAATATCGTTATTTTGTCACAAATGTGGTGTGTGAATAAAGGAGGGTGTGGAAATAACATGGCCCTCAATCATTAATTCATTTGACACTTTCTGGCTTTGTAAGTTTTTGTTTTCCTATTTTGGTTTTTTTTAGATGGTAGGTTTCTTTTACTTATAAAACTGTTCATATTTATATATTTAAGATTTAAATTCAAAATCATTAATTAAGTTATAACAATTTCGTATCAATTGATTCTCACGTTCAATAGAGTTTTCCTATCTTATTTTAATTATGTGTTTAAAAATAGTTAGACTTGAAAAATAAATACTTTTATTAAAAATAACTTCCAAAAAGGTTTTACAAGCAAATGGTTATTTTCAAAAAAATTAAATTAAATTAAGAGTTTAATTTTTATGTATTTTGAATGTAAAAAAGTTGTTTTTATATAATGTTTAAAATAATTATTATAAAGATTAACTAGTTTAATATACATCATAATTTGTTATTCAATTATACTAATAAAATATGACATAATTTTTTTTTTGTTCGTCTCTGGAGTATCCACCACCGATAGCAGTGACTAATCTCCTCGCTACGTTGGAGGCACCTCAAAGGGTGGGATAGCTGGCCCCAAGATTTAACACGGCTGCATATAATTAATAAATAATCTTATTTTTAAATATATTATCTTATTTCTTAAACATGTATTCAGATATTAGATTTGAGATTCAAGAATTGCAAAACACAGACATCTACAAATATTTTAATAGGGTGAGTGTTTTTACTTAAGGATTAAGACAGTTCGGACAGTATTTGATTTTAATGCTACGACTAGGATCGCATTCGCAATGTTTTATATGAAACTGGTTTTGAGTGTACTATTGATCGTTACCTGTTAGCAACGACAACACAGTTTGTAATGTTGGCCACAACAGAGCTCAACCATTATCTTTTTAAGTTGTACATTTACATTTTTTTTCAGTTTTAAGACCTTTCGTAATTGGTACCTATATGTCGAAGTAAAGTTCAGTCAATGTCTACTTTTTCATTCCACTAATAATCTGAGACCTTAAGGAATGAATATCCTGATTCCTTAGATCCAATATGAGTTGGTTAACCCCACAAATTTTATCTCACTGCATGTATTTTCTTACTAATTATTATATCAGCTGCCATGACTAGTAGGCAACTTTTCACTAATCGCGTAGGGACATATATTTACACTTCCTCGTAACTTCAACTGCATGCACACAAAACAAAAGTGCACTGCGAAGATTTATGTTTAAACTAGACAAGGGCTGAATGGGAGATATTTCATCCACTTTCTATGAAATTCGTTTTTCATGGAATGGTTAAAAAAATATACTCATTATAAATATATACATACACTGTTGGCTACCCTGTATTGTATGAATCAAAGTGCAAGCAAGGAGTACAATTTTGAGATTATGGAACTAAGTTTCAGATGAGGAGTTTTAAACTTTAATTTCCCATGAAAGTGGGTCCTCTAAGGGTAGGATCTTGCTGGAGTCTCCATTCCCTTTCCTTAAGGTACTCAAGCAGAGGCAGTGGCTCGTTTCTCTGTTCTGTCACAGAACCACACCCATAAGGGCTTGGTCTTTGAAAATTGTGGAAAATATTGGTTAATTGTTCACCGGCACCAAAAGCATAGGAATAACTTGGCTGCAATGGTGGGGGACCTGGTGGCTTCATATATGGTGAGTACTGGTTAGGAGACAAAGCATTACCCCATTGATCAAATTGGTTGAACATGTAGGAGTCATGATGGAGGAAGTTTTCATGATTTCCATGAACATTCAAATGACTAGGCTGCATATGATTGTTGACCCTCTCAGGTGTGGGATTCTCTCTGTACCAACGCAACCATTCTGAAGAAGTTACTCTACCTGGTGGAGGGTATCCACTGGAATAAGATGGGAAGCTAGTGTCATATCCAAGGGGTCCATAAGTAGAACTCCAAGCTGAATAACCATTTATTGGTGATGTGTTGTCTGGCAATAATGGGGCAGACATAGTAGATTGTACAATGACATCAGTATACCAAGGAGCATTATCTGGCAAGAATGGAGCAGAAGGAACTGGAGTAGTATATGTAGCAGAAGAGGAAGAGAAGTTTGGAAACCCATCCTCTGAAATGGTCACTGAATTCTGAGTTTCAATGATGGAAAGATCAGCCAAGTATGAAGAAGCTAGTTCCTCAATGGGGTGCAACATGTTGGTGTTCAACCCTCCTCTATCAAGGACCCATGCATTGAGTGAAGGATGGCCAGAAGAGATAGGACCTTCAGAAATTGTGTGTGAATTTGATTCCTTCATTGAAGGTTCTTGCAGTTTGAATGATTTGTTGATCCTTGAATTCATCATGTCACCATGGAATCCCCAAGTATCAGTTTGAAATGGACTTTGTGTCATAGGCAGAGAAGTAGTACGGTGCAGACAATCATCAGAAGGTAAGATTTTATCATCCTTGACTTTTGGTGATGACATCTGATCAACAGAGGAAAAAAGTGCGTATGATGGTGCTGAATTATACCTCGCTAGAGGTCTGAAGAGAATAACTTCTTCTTCCACAAGAGGATTTTCATTAGTGCTGTGAGTGGAACTACTTGGATTATCCCTTGTGTCACATTTTTCATCTTCTCCAGTGTCTTTGTGAGCTTTCTGATTAGGGTCATCCCCACTCGTCCTTTTGTCTGTGGACTTCACATCTGTTTCTTCCTTCTCATGATTTTCTTCGGATCTTGCAGAATAAAATTTTCTTCCTAGTTCATCACATATAATCCACTTTTGCAAATAATTATGTCTGTTAGCAATCTTCATTGCTGCTTCACTCAAGCGCTGAGCACGCAATTCAGTGCCACTCTCGAAGTTGTCAATGTGTTCCCATCTACCAGAGAAATCTAATGAGACATGTGAAGAAGCTACAGATACAAAGCCCCTCAACTCATAGTCTTCCCAAAGAGGGGTACTACTTGCTACAAGCTTCTTGTCTTCCTTTCTATTCTCATTTAGTTGATTTAGAAGTTCAATAAGCACATCAAAAAAGTAAGAAGTAGCTGTTTCACTCTTTTTATCAGTTGCATATACTTCAATTGCATCAAGCATGCTTGCACACCACTCCAAGAAAACAAGTACAGAAGGCAATAAGGGGCAATAATTCAAAGGACTAGACTTTAGGCATCTTTCAACAAAACGGCCCATGAGAATGAAAGCAGCAGTTAATGCCAGCTGTATCAGAACAAGTTGCTGACAATCATTTCTGTCTTTCGACTCATTTTTGTCGTGTTCATCAATTAGATTCTTTAGGGTAAATACGAGTATAGAAACTATTTGTAAGGCTCGGAAAGGACCCTTTCTGGCTAAATCCATTTGACCATAGGACTCCAAAATGGTCTTTAGTTTTATATCTTTTAGCTCCATCATTTCATCTAAAACTCCAATAGTAGATGCCAATGCAATGGTGAATTCCTCCAAACTGCTTCAGGATGAAAATAACATCATTTCACATGTAGTGGAAATTGAAATTATGCATTAATCTGCATGCATTGTAACAAGATATCTTTTTGGGGTCAAATGCTTTTGCTGGCAAAATGTAACAATATTTTGCTATCTTGACTTGATATTTATTCCCTAACTCGTTACCAATTTATTATAATATGCAATCAAATCTCTATTTCTTGTCCTTGGAAAATTCAATGTTTAATGAATGGGCTTCTTTCAACTTCCAGCAGCTAACAAAAGTGTAGACACTAGTATATGACTATATGCGTTGAGCACCTAAAACTATGGGAGTGCAAATTCATCACAGTGGTAGATACTAGTATATTGCCTTGTTCTAAAGAAATGACAAATGTAACATTGAAAGAATGATATGTTAATTTCAGCGATGTGCTATGTCCTAAAGAATCGCATGAAAAAAAAAGATATGTTATTAATGGCTAACTTAAAAGATATGTACAAATATGAAATGTTATTCAAAGATACATTGAATATATATGACTCAAGTTGGACTAAGGGGGGGGGGGGGGGGGGGGGGGTTTA